TATTTGCTGCATATGTATTTATGATTGCCATCTCTTCCTCTCGGATTGTTCCCTTTACAAGGATCTAGTGACCTTCTTTGTCTCTTAGTTAGTTTAGTTTTTTTTTTTCAGCTTTAATTGAGTTTATTGGTACATTTTAGGGATACAGTACAGTTACATTCATTGTTGGGGTCTTGTACCTCTGCATGACAAGTCTTGATTCTCATTTTTTCCCCTTACCCCTGCCCTCCCTTCACCCCCTCCTCCCCTCCCCATCTACAAACACTTTATTTTCATCTTTTCATTATCTCACATTTTTTTCTTTTCCCTTATTACCCTTCGCCTACCCATCCCACCTTTCCTGCACCTTTAGCTCCTTTCTTCCCATTTCTAAATGTCAGTAATCTTATTAGGATCTTATGCATTATTGCAGATTATTCACACTAGGGAAACTATTCGGTATTTACACATGTATGACTTAAATAAAATAGGTACCCCTGTTTCTTTGTTGTCTAGGTAATTAATGTGTTTTTTATTTCTTTAAGCATGAAATATATAGTCTTCTATATTTTTCACTGGATTGTCTCAAATTACAGTTCTTGATCATTTAAATATGGCTGACTAATTTTGACATGGTGGCTTATATTTTGTGTATTTGGTAATATTTATGTATTATTCTTTTATCTAAATCAATGGGAATGATGAATTTCTAAGTTAGGAATTAGAAAACTTTTTTTTCAGAATTTATTTCTGTCCAAAAAAAGAAGCATGTCCAATACCAAGTCCCAGAATGCATTAATACACTTTGCAAATGGCCCAAAGCCAAGTTTGAAGATAACATAAAGGCTGTGAACCACCATCTTGGGGTAACTCTGATATTCCTGGCTGCTCATCCTGTGGTGCTGACCTAACACCTGCTTTTCAGTACTCCAATTTCAGCTTATATCTGCTTTGCTTTCATTGTTTCATATCCAGCAAATACAATACCCACAAGAAATCTGGAGACTTTTTTATTCTATGGCCACTGCTATGCAAGAGTGCCTGTGCACCTTAAGAGTTTTTGCTTATGATACTGGAAATGAAAGTTGAATAACACTTTTTAAAGCTAAACTTCAAGTAAAGAATGTAATAAGAATGTTTAAATAAAATTAAATAGAACCCCCCAAAATCAGCATTGTCTTTTTGAAAATAAGGAAATAATTTATTTGAAAATTTTGTTTTAAATTTATATATGCATATGTTTGTATGGGTATTGTAATTTCAAATATATATATTTGTGGCCAAAAAAGATTTTGACATCTACTGTCATAGCTCATTCTTTGGCTTTCCTTCTTTTTGCCTAACTCCTTCTCACCTTTTAAATATCAGCTCAAATGTCACTTCCTAAGGAAAGTCTTCTTTGTGTGATTTCTTTGTGTCCCATAGATTCCTGTATGTTGTATTGGCATTTTCATTTATTTGTAAAAACTATCTAATTTCTTCTTTAATTTCCTCTGTAATCCATTGATTGTTAGGAGAGTGTTGTTCAGTTTCCATGTGCTTGTGAAGTTTCTACAGTTTCTTGTGCTATTGATCTCCAGCTTGATTGCACTATGATCTGATGTATCCCTAAAATGTACCAATAAACTCAATTAAAGCTGAAAAAAATAAAAATAAAGTCTTCTTTGTAATCTCAATATAGATTTGAACCCATTGTTAAGTACTTTCAAGAGTCACTTTCCTTCATTTCCAAACCTTTTATTTCAGTTTGTAAATGAAATTTCACTGTCATATTTGATTAACATTTGTCTTCCCCAACAGACTATGACTGCCATGAAAATAGACCATCCATAACTTTTTTCATCATGTATCCCACGTCTAAATCAATGCTTGAAATATATAAGGACTTCATAAGAACGTTTAACTAAATGAATTTGTGTTCCCATTAAGTTATTCCTTATGATCACATTTTAGTGGCATCAGCAATGCTGGGACATCTTGCTAGATATGGTGTACACATTGAGGGCAGTCTTGATATCTGAAACTTCTAGGAATTAACTCTTTAAACCACAAATGTATATTACTAGATTCAAGAGAACTGGGATGATGACTGAATCCCAATGAAGTAAAAGTGCTTCTCTCTTTTAAACAGTCAGCAGCTCAAAGTAAACACTGAGAATTCTTTTAACAATCATCCGCACTTTAGCTTTCCTCATTGTGTGTGTTCCATGTCCACTTCACAGGAGAAATATGAACTAGAATATTTCCAAAAATCTCTCTTTCAAGAGAAAAGTAACTAACACAGAAATTTGGTACCAGAAGTGGGGTCTCAACCCATGTGGCTTTTCTTCTGAACTCTGACCAGAATCTCTCATAGAGAACAGCCTAAGGCTTTCCAGCTCTACTTCTTCAGCCAACATCTCTGAATCTTTCTTAACTCTTTCCTATAAGCCAGTTCTAAAGGCTCTTGAGACACATGGCCAGGTAATGTCACAGCAGTGACCCTATTTCTCTGGTTCTAAATTTCTGTTTAGTTAGTTAGTTTTCTCTAATTGCTGATACAAAATACCAGACACTCAAAGTTAGAGGGGAAGGGGTTGATTTTGCTAATAGAGCATAGAGGTTTAAGTCTGTAATTGGCTGGCTCCAAGGCAGGGTAGATAGCAGAAAATTATCACAAAGGAGAAAAAACATGACATGCACAAGGTAGCAAAGGTAACAAAAGACCCTCCCACATCTTTCTGCCTTTTTTATACCATCCAGACTAGAATTAGGGTGATGTTAAACCACTCACATGTAGTGGGTTAGGAATCACATATCCTTAAACCCAGCATCCCACACTCTAGATTCAGCTACCACTGACTGAAAGAGGCTTTGGGGAGACATAGAGACCCAAAACATAATACATATTAACTACACAATTTTTTTTTAGCAATAACAGTATAATTGTGAAAACTATGAAGGATACAAAACAATATTGGTCAAAGAAGGATGAGGACATGTTTCAGAAAGTGGCTTAACTAATTATCTAACTATTAATAAGAAACATAACTATTTCTCTTTCATCTTTCATATATATTCTTGACCCTGAATCTGATAATGTAATAAACTTTGGAATTTTGTTATTATGTTGAATAGGGGGAAATGCACTAATGCAGCTAATCAGATTATCCTTAATCATTTCTTATTTTTGACCATAGATTTTAAAGAACAGAGTTTTGAGATATTATCAAACCTCCTTTCTCTCTGTAGAACGGGCTTCTATGCATTAAGAATATAGACACATTGGGTGTAATCCCTCTTAGTCTGATGAGCAGTTCACATGTGAAGCTGTCCTGTGTGTGTATATGTATTGTGTTCTGCTTAGCTTACTAGGACCTCTCTGATACTGTTTTATTTCTGAAATATATAGTGGAGCAGAGGCCTTGGGAGGATTGTATCCTATCACCTTATAAATGTTTAATTTGATTCATAGCAGAAAAGCTATTAAGGTTGTAGCCAAAGAAAGCATAAATCATGTTTTAGGGGAGGTGGTATGTGATCAGAATGCAAGGTTGGTCATTTATTTTTTAACATATTTTTATTAGTGTCTATTAATCTTATAAAATATTGGGTTCAATGTGGTATTTTCATATATGCATATAATATATTTTAACCATATTTAGTTATCCCACTTAATAAAATTCTAGCTAATATAGAAATCATAACTCTTCCTAGATATTTCTTATATTTCTAATGTTAAAATATTTTCTAAGTGCATTGCTGCAATTAAAAATACTTAATGTTATTTGACAATCTTTAAAAGTGATAATGAATCCTTCCTTTGAGTATGCATATGTATCAATGGGTGTGTGATATCTAGTTTTAGTTTTTTAAAGTAAAGCCAGAACACTAAAACTCTTGCAGAATCATTTGAATACAGAATCCTATATTTTAAATAAAATTTACCTTTAATCTTTTAGATTTTTTTGTCCATGCCTGATTTGGCAGCAATTTCTTATAGTGCTCTATTTATATGTAGTTTGTATGAAGCACTGCATCTACTTTTCACAGAAATACTCTCTTGCACTCACATTTTACCAGTGTAAACATTTCATTACTATATATAATTACAGCGAGTATACACATGACACAAGCAGTTTGGAGCATAAACACCATGGAATCTTGGTTTGCATGTAAGTAAACTAATGAATTTAGAAGAATATGGACATGCAGGAGGTTAAATTTTAACCTTCAGCATGTGTGGACATCAGTATGTTCTGCAGAAAGGATGGGGTGAGTCAGTTAGGAAAAGGTGCAGGACCTGAAGACAGCGTAATATAGAATTTGTTTAAAAGGGATGTCTGCTCAAATCAGGGAAGAAGTACCTATAGGGAGGAGGACCTACACCAGGGAACAGCACCTACACAGTCAGGTTTTCCTGGACCCAAATTTATTATAAATTTTTGAAGTATCTATCTGAGTTTGAGCTGCTATAACAAATTACCTTAGCCTGGATGGCCTTGGAGCAATAAAAAATTTATTTTCACATTCTGGACTGAAAGCCTGAGATCAGGATGCCAGCATATGTTAGTTCTGGTGAGGGGAAGGTACTTCTCTTCTTCCTCTTCAGCCATCTCCACTTAAATTTTTGCATTTCTTTCCTTTTATATGGTACACAAAACTTGTTAGGCCCTTAACAAGCAATATTTGCAAATGGTAAAAAAAGTATATTAGACTGCTAAAAAATGACCTACTTTTATTTTTCCCTTTACATATTAAATATGGGGAAAATAAAACAAAATAAATGGATTTCAGTAAACGTAGTGTATGTGTTCAGATTTTTTTTTCTAACCGCCTTTAACATTGCAACCCTTTAACAGATGTGACCACAGGTCATCCTTTTTTCTTTCAGCAGTAAACTAGATGACATTATAGAACTATTTACTCACTATTTCCCTCCTAAGCAAATTCCGCTGCCCTTGGTGACAACCACTAGAAGGAGAAGAATCAGGTAAGGGAGCAGGGCCGCTCCTGGAGGGGCAGAGCACTAACCTGGAGAAGGCACTAGGACCGCCCAGACGCCGGAGCAGCCAAGCTTCAGCGCCAGGCAGAGGGACCCAGCCGCCGGTGCTGTTACACAAGAGAGCGAGAGCCACGGACAGCTGCTCAGCGCCGCTCCCCTGCTGGTGGATTAGAAGGTATTTACTTGCTTTTATCACTCAGGTTTTGTCGAGTCAATGTGCCATTGGGTTTTCACTTATTTGAGACTCTAAAATGCTGTCCAGCACTTACTGGGTTACTCTGTTATTTTATGTTCATTTCCACAGCTGATCGAAGCAACAGTGCCATTAAGCAATGGGCTAGATGCTTCCAGAGGCTGCAACCTGGCATTTGGAGGTGCAGGTAGGTGGGTCACAATCTCTAATGCGCTGGCTGGGTCAGGTGTGTCCCTTGACCTTCTACCTCTCTGCAAGATCCACTGTGAGGTGCCATCTGCCTATTTCATTCATGAAGGAGGAACAACTAGACGGTGACAGAAACCGCTAATTATGGGCCTGGAACTCCACTTTGGAGTGGCTGCATTCCCTCTCCTACCCTGTGGGTTTGCAGAGTTTGGGTGGAAAAAAATTTTGCTCAGGGCTGCAGACAGCTTGCTTGGTTTCTGCTTTCTGTTTGCAAAGCTCAAAAGCAGTCCTTTCTGTCATTGCTGTGCTGCAATGTAGGAGTCTTTTAATGCTTTCTTTATTTCTGCAGCTCAAATGCTCTTATTATAAATGTGCCCTGCCAGAAAGCTGTTAAGACATTCTGTGCCTCCCAGAGTAAAGCTAGAGAGAAAGCTAGTTTGCTTTTTCTTGACCTCACCATACTGAGCACTACATTAGCAGACTGCACACAGAAGCATATTTAAAAATATTCTAAGATTCCATTCTCTGTTTGACAATACTTGTGTTTGTGGTTATGGATAAAGGACTAATTGGTATTAGAAAACCCAAATGAGTATGATTGTATGAAGAAAAGTGGAAATTTAAAAAAATGTTTTACAAATTGATTGCAGAGGCTTTGGTCAGGGCCTTGGTGGCAGTTTCAGGTATTGAAAGCTTTTTGAAAACTTTAAGGCCCTGTCAGAGTGTTAGATGTGATTACTGCCTCGTTAGTTATATTTATGTATCTCATCCTAAGTGTAATAGGTAAGTGTTATAGATAAATAAAATATTGTGTCCTATTAATGGTCAATTTATGGGAAATTTTAAGATAAACAATGTCATAAAATATATCAGGAAGGAAAATAAGGCACAACACAAGATATTATTACATTGAAACATGACGTTAATGAAAGCATTTATTAAAGAACCTTTTTATTTGGTTTTTTGAGATAGGGTTTCACTGTGTAGTTGAAATTGACCTGGAACTCATTATGTAGCCCAGGATGGTCTTGAACTCACAGTGATCCTCCTGCCTCAGCCTTCTGAGTGCTGGGATTACAGGTGTGCGCCACCACATGTGGCATAACTTTTAAAGTACTTTCAATAGTTCAAAAATTTAGAAATTTAATAATTCAAAAATGATTTAATAGTTCCAAATTTTATATATTTAAGTAGCCTGTATTTGACATTTTGAAATATTTTATATGAGATTTCAAAATGTTTAAGAATCAAACTTTTGAAAATATAGTTGTAGTTCTCCTAAAATAATTCATGTGATTGAAGAAAGAGCAACAGGCTATGGGGGAGTGAGGGAGAAAAGGGCTAAGTTTTATTTTATTGTTCTATGCTTTTTATGTTTTGAATATTCTGCTCTAATATTTACTATATAATATGCTACCTATATTGTTTTAAATTGAACCAAAATTACAAATGTTTATGATCATTAATTTTCTGGATCTTTAAGATGCAAATGACAATATATATTAAAAACCCCAACCTGTTAATATTGGCATATAATATTCCTTAGTCGGGGAAAATCTCTTTTGAAGATAATGCGTAGATTCTGGAGGAAGTTAAAGAAATCAGACTGGATATAGTAATTAACTTTATTTTCTGAATCAAAAATAATTTTAAACTTATTTTGGTATTAGAATAACTGTATACCACATATCTTGCTAATTTTGGTGTGAATAAAGTTTCCCCTTCTCTCTCTCAAAAGTTTTTTTTATATTCTAAGCCAGAGAAGTTGACTTAATTTTCAAAATTAAAACTATAGTTTTGAAAAACTCTTGCACAACATATGATGATTTACCTTCTTAAAGTTCAATTTTATGCTTCATAACTTTTATGCTTCCCATTATATGTGTCTTACTATAAATAACTGCGAGACAGCTTTCTTGTATGTTAAAGCTAAGTATTCACTGGATTTAATGATGATATGGAAAAATACACCGAGAACATAGATGCTATTCAAAGTGTGACACTCTTCTCAGCATATGGACTCCATCCCAAATTTCAACCCTAAAATGAAGCCCGGTGGGCAGACGTAGTAACTGAAGACAACTGTTGCAAAGCTCAACACAAGTCTGGAATTGCTGGCAAACAAGTAGGGCTGAAGCTAAAGAGTGAGATACACAGGCAAAGACTAATTTGTTAAAGTGTGAAAGCGGTGATGATCTGGTGATTGTGAGGGCTAGAAATAATCCCCTGAGACCTTGGAAAGATTTGCTGCCTGAGATTTGGGGAGAATTTCAATACAGTCTAGATTCTCTGGAGAATGGTAAGATAGACATTTCTAAAAGATTGATTTTAACACATATTTTTATTTAAAGGAAATTCAGCAAATAGTCCATTTTTTCAAACAGGTTTACTCTTACTGATGGTACTTTTCCCCCAAAAGAAAGAACACTTTCCCCAATAGGTGTTCTCTTATAGGTAGGTACTTAGACATCTTTGGAAGATGGCTTTACACTGCCAAAGTACCTATAGTAAAGGGACACTGGAAGCATCATTGTTCTGCTTTTACTTTTTCTTCTGTCCTCTACACATATATGATTTGAAAAAAAATCATCAGTGCAGTAAGTCAGCCAGGGGCCACCTTCCAATGATAAGCCTGGGAGAGATGCTCAGTGGTTGTTGAGTGGATAAGGAAATAAATGTAAAGAATGACAAACTGTCCTGCTCGTTGCGTATTGAAAGATCATTACAACCCAACCATAAAATTTTAAGAAGTGATTGGTCACATATAAAAGCCACAATAAACAGGAGTTTTACAAAACTTGAGGTTTTCTTTGAAATTCCAGTTTGACTTTCCATTGTTAAAGAAAAGGTTTAATGGGAAGAAAATCAGAAAACACTAGTGGCGTGCCAAGTTCACTCACTTATAGTTGGGTGAACAAGGAGAAGCAAAGTTACATATTTTGTTACAGTTTAGCAAAAGAGGAAAGCTATTATTCATATAGCTTTGAGAAGAAATTTTTCTTTAAAGGGTCTTGCCATTTCCACAATTAAGTATTATTAATAAAAGGTTGTAAGTATAGCAAAAAGATTTAAATGTATGAATTTTTTGAGTGTAAGAGGCCAATTAACAGTACAAAATGAATGTCATGCTTTTATTGATAAGCAGATGCATGAAAATATTGTTTTAATTTATCCTTCCTGGTTCAAACAAATATGTCTGGTGTGGATATGGGACACCATAATACACTCTTATTTCCTTCATTTTAAATCATTAATAAGAAGGAAATTAAATAAAAACTCTAAGGAAACTTGTTGATAAGTTTCAATAATGATTCCGTAGATGTTTAAGTGCAAATGAGCATTGCTCTTCCTCAAAATGTAGTGAGGCCACTGCAGTTTTTACTTTGGAATTAGTATAAAAATATATGGATGCAGAATTTAATATCTTTGAATTGTGCTTCTTTAACAGAAATGTGTTGAGCCCTCATTACATCCCAGGTATGGGAATAAGAACAATAAATAAGATATGTACCAGTTTGTAAACTGTCCATTCTTCTTTGGAATATTAGCATTAAGCAGAAAACTAAATAGCATTAACCAAACACATTTTTATTAAAATCATGTCATTCTATACATTATTACAAATTAAACAAACATAAAATATCTGATTAGTGTTAACTTGAAAATTAAGAGAGTGCTACAGTAAAGAATTGTTGTACACTACAATAAAAAGAGCTCGTGTTATTGTGGTGATACACAGCTGTAATCCCAGGTAGGAGGCTAGGTCAGAAGGGTAACAAGTTCAAGCCCACCCACTCCCTCTCAAGAAAGTACTGGGGGTGTAAGTCAGTGGGCAAAGCCTCTAGGTTCAATCCTCAGGAAAGAAAGAAAGAAAGAATTAAGAAAGAAAAAGAAAGAAAGAAAGAAAGAAAGAAAGAAAGGAAGGAAGGAAGGAAGGAAGGAAGGAAGGAAGGAAGGAAGGAAGGAAGGAAGGAAGGGGAAGGAAAGAAAGAAAGAGAAAGAAAGGAAAGGAAGAAAATTTACAAATCCTTCCTACTAGAATTTTATACCTTGGAGTTTCAGGCAATTACTCTTTCAGCCCCTCAGTGAAATTTTACAGACTTTGATAAGAGAACAATGAGAACACTAATTGACCGCCCGTGACTATGACCATGACTGTGCAGTGTGTAGGCAAATTAAATTTCCACTATAGCTTACAGTGTTAAACTTCCATGAATTCCCTTCTTTGACTACATGGTCCAATACACAAGAACTTGGTATCTGTCTTGCACCTTTCTTAACATTCTTTTGGTGATCATATCACAGATTTGAGGGAAAAAATACATTTCCCACAAAGACAGCAGAAAGATAGACCATTGTTCTCAAGTCTTCAAAATAAGAAGCCTCCATTGGGAGCTTTGCTACTTGCAGGCGTGGTTGATTTGCTTCTCCTCCGAACCACCAACCCAGCAGTTGATAAGGGGCAATTGTGGGGCTGTTCCTCCAGAGAATGCTGGACTGAGGCAAATATGACCAGCAGGTTAGACACACATTCCACAATAGGACTGTGCTTTGCTGGTTCTGCCCATCAAACAACTTGAGAAACTCAGTTGAGAGAAGCACGGGTCTTCAGAGTGCACAGCAAAGTTCAAGTTCAAATTGATGAAGCAAGTTCACTGATGAAGACAGTGGTTCATTGATAGTTGGAGCAACTCACATCTAACATTCTTGGGATTTTGTCATCTTGTCCGAATGCAGCCATAAAATACATACCTGCACATAACCACATGCATCCTCCTAATCAACTGCTGTAGTTTATTTTTTAAATGGAAAATGCTAAGGGATGACTTTTCACTGTTTTGCTTCTACTACTCAACAATACTACTAGGTATAGTGGCAACAGTTGTTCAACAGTATTTCTCTCTAGTTGTTTTATAAGAAAACATTAATTTTGGATGCTATCAGCTAGATGTAGTTGATGATACTTTAGTAGATAAAAGTCGAAATAGAAAACTAAAC